CTCCCGCAAGGACATTGAATTTCCAGCAGCTTACAAAAAAACAGTGTAGAAAAATAAAGAGGTATAACAAAAAAAAAAAATTCTATGCTATTTCTATTTCTATTGGTGGAAATGGAATATAATATTAATAGGTATTTTTTACATTTGTGTGTAATCTGACTATAGGAATCGTTATGTTTCCGTTACCTCAGAATGAGGCGTTTCTACAGATGCTGCAGGTCGCCTTCCATGGAGTCCGCCGTGTTAAACCTTCTTCTTTTTGTTCCCACAGTTGAATGTTTGAGCTTCACTGTACAGAACGATGTCTGTGCAGTAAAAGGGTGTTTTCACATTCTTGTGGTAAAAGTGGAAAGTTTCTATGTGCTCATTGAAAAAAGAACATATCAGATACAAAATATTATTCAAAGTAGTAGCAACTGACATACATGCTATACAAGCATGTCTGATCTTTAAGTTTAGGTTGTCGTGTACAATGTGTTGAACAGCTTCGTTATTGACACCTGAGTTGGGAAATGTCTAAATGTTGCAAATGCAAGTGAGGCTGCAGGTCAGACGTGTGAGTCAGTCGGGTGTTGTGGTCTGTGTGTTGACATTGTGTAACCATGTTGTTCAGCTAACTTGTTTTCGATCTTTCAGAGTCATGTGATTGAAGACGTGGAGAAGTCTGACAACGAGAACACAGACTTGGACAACACTGGTAAATCCTCCTCCCATTTCACTTCCACTGTGTATATAATAAGTGTTTCCAGGGTTCAGTTTGACCTTATTTGTGTTTTATAATGTCTGAAAAAGGGCAGGAAATAACTGCAGGTGTTTGAGATGAAAACATTGTACTATCGATATAAGCTGGTAGATGCAGGAATTTTAGAGTGAGGTCAGGTCCTTAAAAAGAATGTTAACTGAAGGCCTCAGTTGGGGTTGAATACTGTTAAAATGAAATTCAGCTGTAGAGGTCTTTGTGGTTGATTTAACATCTTTACCTTCAGCTTTTACTGAGACATTTGAGTGTTATATCATGGCATTTCTCTCAAAAAGAAAGAATAATGCAGAGTTTTGGACAAGATGTTTGAAACAATATGAACATCGCCATCTTTTTTTTCTTCATGAAACCAAGAGATTCAGATGAGCTGTCATGAGAAGATCGAGAGTTGTGAGGAAGCCACAGAGGTAGGTGGCAGAAATGGAATATCACAGTAACAACACAGTAATTGTTGTGTGAATTCAATTAAAAAATAGTTTAAAATAATCATACCGTACCATTCTTCATCACATTTGATTATTTTCTTCTTTTATATGAAACCTCAATACAAACAAAAACCAGTGCCTCACAGGAGACCGCACCTTTAAAAAGTTAAGAAACAAAAGATTCTTCTCCCTCATCTTGGGTTGGTTGGAATGCCTCCTGCTCTGTATTTACAATTTCACTCTCCTCCTCCATGTTGTCTTGTCACTCTCTTCTTCTGCGGTGGTAAACGTGGTAGGTCAGGTGGGAAAATGGTGGTGAGGAACTAAAGCAAAAAAAAAGAGAAAAGCATTTAAAGGTGTCTGGTGGAAAAAAGGTATAAAAAAAGAGGGATGAAGGGAATAATTGTACTATTTTACTGAGAATTATAAACGAACGTTGGAGATTTTTTGCAGTCTGACTTAGCAGCATGGCTGTAGGCTCTGTGTGAACATGAAAGGACCCCTTTGAGTGCACTTAATGGTCGGTGGCGTTACGGACCATCTGTCCCCCCTCAGATGGACGCTCTTGTGAAGAGGACCTCCGACATTGAGGTGGGACTGAAGAGGACCAGGAGTGGACGGGTCACCAAGGCGACTACGGTCAGTCAGCCACTCAACAGCCACTACTTCTCTCCTCCACTGTCACAGCTAGATGACCTGAGACCTTTGGCTCTCTTTGCTTTGTTAATTAATTAATCAGCAGAATAGATCGTTGTATGAGTCAGCATAGGTCAGACAGAATGCACCCAGAGGGCTCTTTTGAGTTTGACGTGTTTTCACTGCAAATTAAGAAGTTACATGTTTCTTTGACACAGAGAGTATTAATGGGGTAAGCCAAACGTGTTAACAATTAAATATGAGCTCACTCAGGTTATTTTAAGTGCTTCATGATATTTCTATGCATTGATCTATGGACTAGTTGAGTACTGTGTGAATGTAAAAGTTGCCGCTGTGGTCTAAGTTAGAGCAGATATGTGATTATCATACATTATTATGTGTATTATTGTGTGTATCTCTCTGCTCACACACTGTTTTTATCACTGTATGCTCAAGGACCTCGTGGTTGCACTTATGTTAGTGTTGGCAGAATCTTCTGTTGATATTTATTACTTCCAAGGTTTGTCCCCATATAGTCTACTCCCCTTTATTCCACTACACGCATACACAGCCTGCCCTGCGCTCGGTGTTCCCCGCCCACATGCCCCCTAGACCACCGTAGTATCATGGGATGAATGTCCTGTGTCCCCCAGATGATATTTCTCTATGACAGTTGCGGATACATTGGCTCGTATCTTTATATATATCGTACTTCAAAAATATTGTCCACTTGTTTGAGGATTGTGCCATTTGTTGGACACAAAGAAAGTTTAGGAGATAAATTATTTGATATAAAAAATGGAAATAAAAACTGAGGATCAGTTGATAAGAAATGATCAGAGAAATAAAAAAGAGAAGCACAGCAGGATTCTGTATATGACTGCTTTGGTGTGTTTTTGTGGCAGGAGACAAACCTGACAGTGAACAACAAGAAGTCGACTGATGTGAAGGACAAAGCGGTGAGAAACTCATTCTTACAGCATTTATAAACTGATCTGATCCTTATTTAATATAAATAATTGAATATAGATGAAAATAAAGCTAGCAAACAATTAAGCACATCTTTCATGTTATGTAAGAACTACAAGTATGGGCCTGCTCTCCCAGAACACTTCATTCAACATGCAGCGTTTGTATCTGTTAGGAAAAATTGATTTGATAAGACCGTTGTAATTTCACATAAAAAGCTTTTGTACAGAGGGTATAGGATGAATTTTGAAATGGAAAGTGCGTAGGACACTGTTTGTTTCATGGATGAGTCAGCAGTGATCACTTTGGTTTCTCAGAGTGGGATGTTCTCTGTCAGTAGACATATAATGCTGTGGTCGTCAACTGCGTATTTCTTCTGCTGTTCTTTCAGGTTTCTCAGTATGACATCCCCAACAGCCAGGAAACGCCATCCACCTCCGCGCCTAAGAAGAAACGCAAATTCAGCGAGCCCAAAGAACGCTTCTGACCTCACATCCCACTGCTAACACAGCAGCACTGCTGTATTGGTTTCCACTCATGTTTTTTTATGACTCAATTTTGATTGCAACAAGTTACATATCTGTTTTTTAAGAGGAATTTCACTCCTTTTAGCATTAATTTGGGGGTTGTGATATTATTGTTTGTTTGCTCTACAGTTTGTTTGAATGCACAATGTGGACAATTTACATATTTGAAGTTAGAATACAATTTTATTCATCAACACAGTATTTAAGTTGACTTCCAATAATTGTTTGTTTTACTGTTTTCATTCTAAGTTACTTGTCTACAAAGCAGGATTTCATACTTGAATAAAATACAAAAATGTATCCAGTGTCTTCTGATGTTGCAGTTTATGACTCATGTTTTTATCAAAGTACAGTACAAAGGACAGTATGAAGTACAAAGTAGCAACAAAAGGCATGTCAGGATTGTTTTATTTCTATTTTAACTTGTATTTGGACTTATTTGGGCAGATAAATGCTTTTTTGCTGTGTTACTCCCAAAATGGTGACCCTTTTAGAGCAAATATAATGCACAAAAAGTAAGTCATTTGTGTAAAGTAAGTGTGTAAGCAATGAGGTCAAAGTATCCAGGTCATGATTTAACTGATGACCTAATGGATGTTACAGAAGAAGTCTGTTACTGTATGCGCCTGTATACGCCTAACCAAGGGCGTAGGTAGAAAAAGAGCAGTATGCAGAAACTATAGTCATGTATGAGGCTGCTGTGGTGTGTGCCAGGATTTTATGCGATATATTTTTATTAGCTGTAAGGAGACAGTGAAAAGGAGCCATGTGTGCGTATGTGGAGAAGAGAAGGTAGAGAACAGCATATTTGAAGCTTTGCTTAACCCCCACCCACAACACACACTCCACTGCGAGTATTTTACAGTATAGGTGATGATAATAACTTTTTACATGCAATAATGTTATTGTGATATCAACAAATATACATTGTTGTGCTGTGTAGAGTACGTGTGTGTTTTAGATTTTCTGAAATTGTATCTGTTTTCAAATATGGCCCTCTGGTCTGGAATAAAATGAATTGATTGGTAAGTGCAAAAATGCGGCCCTGGAGGCCATACAGTCATAATGCTCAGCAGCTGCTTCCATCAGCGCTGAGACGCTGTCAGACACCTGTGCTTGCTTCTCGCTTTGTAAAAAGGAAATGCCTCTCGCATAGTTGAAAGATTTAACAGTTTGAGCTTCCTGCCAGTAAAAACACCCCCTGCTCTGCCTCTGGGATAGAAAAATTCAACTTCACCTGCCTCTTGAAAAACAAACCTCTGCCTTTGAATACACCCAGAAATGCCACCATTTGCATGTGAGGTGCCTTAAATGAAGCTGTTAAGTGAAAGTGGATTATATCTGTACACAGTGACCTTTGGGCCCAGATAAGGGGCCATCAGCAGCCTCCCGCCCGGCAAACTGTGTGTTTTTAATCTCCTATTGTTTTTCCCAGAGAGAGGGACATTTGCTGATAGACTGCCTTAACCCAGTGCGGATCAATACTGCAGGAAGCCTTTGTGATGCATATCCAAGCAGCCCCCACCTCTCTGTGTCTGCAGCAGGCCAGAGGGGGTAGAGAAAGAGAGACTCCATCAAATCAGCTCTCACTTCCGAACACGGGCATTGTCTTGGCCACTACATTTATTTCATTGTCTCTGTGTTTTTTATGGGTATTTCTGATAACAGAGAAGTGTAAAGCAGAATGAACTGGGAAATCCATGGTGGACAATACCCACACACCAGTGCATTGACGTGCTTTATGAGCTGTGAAATGAATCAGGGTTACCTAACCCCACAGCCCGACTCCAGTGGAATTTTTCAACACTTTTTATTATTTTGACAGCAGGGGGTTCTGTGGGTATTGATAAGTGATGAAATGCAATAATGGTAAAGGCACCTTTGCAGGTCTAGTCATGTATTGTAGATAACCAGTATCTCTGGCATAGACATTACAACAACATTATATCACAGAAATGAACCGATAAATAGTGCCCAAAAGGCAAAATGTATCCAATGGCATGGAAAATAAAAAGAAATGTATACTGGAACATACACATTTCGAGAGATTGTCTCATCTGGCACCAAAAGTAGTGTAACCCTTGGAGATTAGACCCTAGAAGGCACGAAGACTTGAATATGGACCACTTTCAATCACATCTGAGTTGAAAATGGAAAAACAACATAAGAACATGTTTAAGGGTAGACCAGTGTTCCCGTCAAGCACGTTCCAAATATCTAACGACGAAGGAATCTAAATTGCAATTTTATTTTGCGTCCACCCTCAATCCTTCACTCGGATCCTGGGACTCTACATCATTTCTGTACACACACGTCTCCCAGAAATGAATTCTGAAATTAAATTCAGGGACACACGTCCAGTGTCCAGTGTTAACAGATCAATCAGCTGGCCAAACAGCAGGAGGGGCCCGCCGGACGCCTCTGCAGACCAATCAGAAATCTGGGTTCGGCCTGTCTGAGTCGATAGCTTAGGTCCAGGGCCGCCTGGGTACGGGTCAAGGCAAGACACACGGACAGACTGATGGACAGACAGCCGCAGTCCATCCCAGGGCTCCATATAGATTAAAGCCAGCTTCTGTGAGCCTATAGTCGCGGTGCGGTGATTGTGCCTGCAGGGCCTATAGGCCCCAAGGGGGGGCTGGGCTTTACACCAGGAGGGGGAGGAGCGAGGGATGGAGTGGACATCCAGCCCAGGGACTGTGACCTCTTTGACCTTGCCAGAAGGGCAGCAAATGTTTCCGAGCTGATTAGCGCTTCCCCAGCAGAGTACTCCACTCACTGTTAACCCTTTGGAATCAGGTAGTGGGCAGATGTGTTGGAGAAAATCCAGGAAATATGTCATTCAAATAGTTTCTGGCAAAAAATACAGCAAGGTTAAAAGTTTAAGTGAATTCAAATATTTTAATTAATGCCCATAAGGATTAAACATTCTTATACTTTTTCATACACTTAATTTGAGTTTGAGGTACTTTTACTACTTTGCTTTTTTTCTTTTATTCTACTTTATAGTTCTACTTTTTTTCAGAGGAAAATATTGTGCATTTTATTCACTACATTTGTTTGCGAATTAGACTTATAGACATATTACCTTATCAATTCATAAAATATATTGCTGATAAGGGAAGGCGACTTTATGTGTATAGCACCTTTCAACCACAAGCTAATTCAAAGTGATGTACACAAGACATAAAAATCGTATGTAAACAGGATTAAAGAGAAAATTAAACAGAAACATTGAAATACAGTGTAGTTAATGTGCTGTGCAAAATATGAATGAATGGTTTTGAATTTAATTTGATAAAAGGCTCAAAAGCAAGGTTTGAAGCCTAAATCCAAAAGAACTGAGATTTGGTGATAATACTTTTAAATACCTAACTTTTAATTGCAGTATTTAAACAGTATGATACTGTTATTTTTACCTAAGGATGTGACTACTTCTTTCACCACTGTATGTTTACACAGAGAATAAGAAACTTACTGTAGCAACACTGGATGAATTTAGCAGGAATGAAATATCTTATAACAGCCACAAGGGGGCGATAAGCAGCCATGGAATGAGCAGCTAGACTGAGGCGCTCAAAGATAACGCCTGCTGCCTTATGTCATGACAGAAAAAGCATCCTCTTTCTCATGCATGCCTTAATCAGCTTGTACAGTTGGCCTCCACACTGTACACAATTTAAAAAGCATGTGATCCTACTAAACAGCCAACATGAGGCTATTCAACTTGTCTTTTGAGAGACACTGCAGCAGAGTCAACAGTATTGATCCGAATAAGGAATGATAAAAGGAGGGGAAGCTGAGAGCAGGTGGTAGTGGGCCAGCAGATTCAGGGATTTAGTCGCTCACCGGGTATGTATGGTCAGCGCTACTGAGCGGCGAGGGGACCAATACCTACTCGAAACAGATGCTCAAAGCAATGGGATGTGCCCCCATTGTGATCAGAGTGGACAGCTGAATTGTTTACCACCAAAGGGCCCTTTTCTTCAGCGGCAGGCCCGTGCACAATGGGGCCCCCGCCACACTGACACACTGAGGATTTCTGCAGGGGGAAGCAGGGGAGGGTGGGGGGGGGTAGTGCGTGTGCATCG